CAGGGATAAAAAGAGAACTTACAGACTATGGAAAATAGGACTGGCTACTCAGGATGAGTTTAGGAATATAACTAGGTCATGCAGAAAAAACATTAGAGAGACAAAAGTGCAATTCGAAGTCAATTTGGCTACTTCTGTTAAGGATAACAAAAAGCACTTCTATAAATACATTAATAACAAAAGGAGGGGCAAGGAAAACCTCCATTCCTTGTTGGACTTGGGGGGGGACATAGTTAACAGGGATGAGGAGAAGGCTGAGGTACTTAACACCTACTTTGCTTCAGTATTCACCAGTAGGACAGGTGGCCCTTGGGACAACTGTCCTCTGGAGCTGGTAGACAGGGACAGGAAGCCGAATAGTCCCGCTGTATTCCAGGAGGAAATAGTCAGTGACTTACTGAGCCACCTGGATCCACACAAGTCCATGGGACCAGACAGGATCCATCCTAGGGTGATGAGGGAGCTGGCAGAAGAGCTTGCCAAGCCGCCCTCCATCATTTACCAACAGTCCTGTCTCTCTAGGGAGGTCCCAGAGATTGGCAGTTGGCAAATGTCATGCCGATCTACAAACAGGGCTGCAAAGAGGACCCGGGAAACTCCAGGCCTGTCAGCCTGACCTCAGTGCCTGGCAAGGTTATGGAGCAGATCATCCTGAGTGCAATCACACAGCACCTACAGGATGGACAAGGGATCAGACCCAGCCAGCACAGGTTTAGGAGGGGCAGGTCCTGTCTGACCAACCTGATCTCCTTTTATGATCAGTTGATGCACCTGGTGGATGAGGGGAAGGCTGTGGATGTGTCTATCTGGACTTCAGCAAAGCCTTTGACACTGTCTCCCATAATACACTCCTGGAAAAGCTGGCAGCCCATGGCTTGGACAGGAACACTCTGTGCTGGGTTAGGAACTGGTTGGAGGGCCGGGCCCAAAGAGTGCTGGTGAACGGGGCTGCCTCCAGCTGGCGGCCGGTCACCGGTGATGTCCCCCAGGGATCAGTGCTGGGCCCAGTCCTGTTTAACATCTTTATCAATGATTTAGATGAGGGGATTGAGTCCATCATTAGCAAATTTGCAAATGACACCAAGTTGGGAGGGAGTGTCGACCTGCTGGAAGGCAGGAGGGCTCTGCAGAGGGACCTGGATAGGCTGGAAAGTTGGGCTGATTCCAACGGGATGAAGTTCAACAAGGCCAAGTGCCAGGTCCTGCACTTTGGCCACAACAACCCCTGCAGCGCTACAGGCTGGGCACAGAGTGGCTGGAGAGCAGCCAGGTGGAAAGGGACCTGGGGATGTTGATTGACAGGAAGCTGAACATGAGCCAGCAGTGTGCCCAGGTGGCCAAGAATGCCAATGGCATCCTGGCCTGGATCAGGAACAGTGTGGCCAGCAGGAGCAGGGAAGTGATCCTTCCCCTGTACTCTGCATTGGTGAGGCCACACCTTGAGTATTGTGTTCAGTTCTGGGCCCCTCAGTTCAGGAAAGACATTGAGGTGCTGGAACAGGTCCAGAGAAGAGCAACCAGGATGGTGAAGGGACTTGAGCACAAGTCCTGTGATGAGAGGCTGAGGGAACTAGGGTGGTTTAGTCTGGAGAAGAGGAGGCTCAGGGGTGACCTCATCACTCTCTACAACTCCCTGAGAGGAGGTTGTAGCCAGGTCGGGGTCGGTCTCTTCTCCAAGGCAATCAGCAGGAGGACAAGAGGGCACGGGCTTAAGCTCTGTCAGGGGAGGTTTAGGTTGCATATTAGAAAGAAGTTCTTTACAGAGAGAGTGATCAGGCATTGGAATGGCCTGCCCAGATAGGTGGTGGATTCACCGTCCCTGGAGGTTTTTAAGATGAGGCTGGATGTGGCACTGAGTGCCATAATCTAGTAATCACAGTGGGGTTGGATCAAGGGTTGGACCTGATGATCTTGGAGGTCTCTTCCAACCCAGTTAATTCTATGATTCTATGGACTATGACAGTTGGGGAAAAAACCTTGGTTTCAGAAAAAAACAAGATATCAGTGGTATTGATTGACCTGTCTCAGCCCAGAGAGTCCACACCTTGATTTCATCAAACCTGTGCAGAAGACTATTTGTACCTTATCTCTCCCTTTGTTTTCCCTGAAACCCTGCATCCTGTAGAACCAATTACCTGTTCCCCCCTGTAAAATCCCCTAAGATAAAGTGGGTTTTTCCCCACGAGGTAATTGCTAAGACCCCAAATTTGTTAACCTGGGTTTTCCCCTTATGTCATCCCCTAACCCCCCTATTTTGTAATAAATTGTAATAATTCCAACCCTCTGTTGAATATGTAAACCCTAAACCCTTTAAAATGAACTTAGAAGTCCAATAAACCATTCCAGTTTCTTGCCTCCCCTGGGATCGTTTAGTTATTGATTCACTACATGCACCTACATCTTAGAACCTGCACCAGTGCAAGCTTCTGGAGGCAAGTGCAGTTCAGGAGCTCACAGAATTGCTGCTATTTACAATGTGTACAATTACACATTTACAATATGTAATTTTCAAGGTGTGTATACTTCAATTTAATAGCATAGTCACATTCTGCCACAACACAACATTTATGGCCACACTTTGGCTTTCTGAGACACAGAAAAAACCCCTTCAGCAGATAAGTTATCTCACAACAAAATAAACTTAGAAGAGCAGCCCACACATTTAACAAAGAAATTCCAAAGGCTGAACAGGTCTGCTTTCTTTGGCTTACTTTCCAGAAAAGCTTTAATTAAAGATAAAATAGCTTCTAATAGCTTAGAAGATATTCACCTAACATCAGTATGTCTTAAAAGAGTGTTTAAAGTATATACTTCCCACCATAGTCATTTATAAAAGCTCTTTCGCTCCATCCCCTCAGAGATTTATGCTTTTTTCTCTTCATGAAGTTTTACTGATTGCTTAAGAATACATGCTAAGTATGTTAGAAATCATGTTTATGAAGTACTACAGATCAGCTTCCTACTGAAAGTACCACAGCAACAAAATGCACATTTTGAGAAGGAGGATCGTAAGAATGCTAAAGAAAAACAATAGCAAGTAGACCTTTCAAGAAAAGGGAAGATACTGACACCAGAGGTGAGCTACCATGAAATGGAGCGTGTGGCAGAGGATCATCCCTATTTGTGACATGTCAGACAGTACAGAGGATGTGATTTTCTAGATTCACATATTCCTGGGACCTCAGTGATCAGAAACACAGCTGAACTAGTCACACATGCTGCTTGGCACTTTCTGAGAAGTAGACGCAATTTAAACATTCCATACCATGACTGCAGACTCTCACGAAGATTAAAGGAATCAATGCAAATCCAAAATACCTTCTTCTCAAAACTACTATTCAAACCCAGATCATTTAGTTTACATACTAATTTTAATTTTTTTTCCTTTAGAAACCATATGCTTACTGATGAGTCTTATCAGATTTAACAACTGTATATAATTTGCTATAGAATGTCAATAATTAAAATAATGTAGGAATTGGTTAGGTATGTTTTAACAAGAATAAGACTTGGAAGTATTTTTCTTTATTAGATATCACAAGTTTGGAAATTTTGTATACCATTTTACTTTTAAAAGTAACATTTAACAAATATTGAAGTGTCTGGAGAGACTGCAGATGACACAACTTTGCAAATGCTCATGTACACTGTGCTTGTGCATCATCATAAGGCCTGGAATTTTTAAAGCCATTTTAGGGACTCAGACACCTAAGAATCTTTAGACTGATTAGAAAACCAGTATTCAATATTAAGACATCCAAATTTGGATGTTCTTTACTCTCAGCTTCAGAGATGCATTTTACAAAATAAGAAAAAGTTTTGTTCAAAAGGCCACTATGTCAATATGAGTCTTTGGGCAAACTAAAACCCTTCCCAGAAATGAAAGATGAAACCTTTTCAGTATGAACACCATATTGAAAACCCTCATAGCATGTCCCAGACCCATTACATTTTCAAGATGGTTCTTACATTTAATTGAGAGACAGCCTCAAACTATCTCTCTCTTAATCTTGAATTCACAGTGACAAACTTACCCAAAGCAGGAATAATTTCTTGAATAGATACTACTTATCTGATTAATATATTTGCTCTTGCTGACTGCACAGTATTTCATAGCAGAAATTATGATGAGAAATTTTCTTTTAAATGCATATATATCACTAGTCTTTCTACTACATTTCAGAGAAAACAAAAACTGCCTTAAGCCTTTTAAGACTCATTTGTGGCCTTTCTCCTCTGCCTTCCACCAAAAATTGCATGACTATCTATGGCCTTTAATCTTGTTCTGGTTTAGATGGTTTGAAGAAAAAAAGTATGGTTGTACAATTGGTAAGAACATGTAATATTTTATGTTAGAGTTGTAGACAAAATATTTACCTACTAAAGACTAGTATTTTAATCAAGTCTTTGCTCATAGAAAAATATTTGTGTTATGATAAATACAACAATCAATTCCTTACTCATAGAACAATGTTTGTGTTATAGTAAATAATAAATGCGAACATCTTTTAAAACATTCTTAACTGTAAAGTTAACTCAAAATGCCATTAGTTAAAAGTTTGGTAACACTGAAATGCTAGAGTTTCTCATTTAGAAGATTTATATATTCAGTTTTTCTTTAATCACTTAATTTGATTAAATTTCACTGTATTTCACTGCCTTTTTTCCCACTTCAAATTTCTTATTACACCATAAAGCAATAAGAAGGCCAACTCACTGTTGTTAGATTTTGCACAGAAAAAAATGTGATTCAATTATCAAAAAAATACATGTAGAAGGGGTCATAAATCCTTGTTTGCAGGATATCTAACTCTAGACAGTTCTACATTATATCAGTATTAAGAGACAGCATAAAAAGAAAGTCAGAATAAGTAAATCAAACTTTACCAAAAAAAGTAGCATAATTTTCATCACCTACTTGCTTCTGTAGCTACCGTTCTCGCCTTCTTTGCTTTCTCCTCAAGCTTTTCAACTTGCTTCTTTTTCTCTTTCTCAGCTTTTAGTTGAAGGAAATACTTGTAGGCAAGACCAACAGCTGTGATGTAACCTCTGTCTTCTACAGCCCTTGTAGGCGAAGAAAGTTTCATCACAAATGGTGACCTATCAGCAACGACACTCGCAGAAGATTGTCCATGAGCTCCAAACTCAATTTCTGTTCCTCTGTGTAGTAATGTGGTAAATGATGTAATTCAAAATTGGTTTTGTAGTTTGTCAGCACTGGAAGGAACTATGTAGGTCCTGAAAAGAACTACCATCTTTCTTATTGCAAGCCATCCTGTGCATAAGCATGTGGGGTTTTATTTTGGCCGAGGTAAATTGTTCCCATACTGCAAGTTTCATATAACACTGGTCTCTCTCTAATATGCAAATCCAAACTACGTGATCTTCTGTGAAGAGGTTTTACAGTACATGCATTATTCATAGGATAGGAAGAAGAGAGATTTCTGTTTTGGTTTAATGCCTTTAAGGGAAGTTTTTTACTTTTCATCTCATATCTTGGAGATTTTACTTCTAGACAAAGTGCTTCTGTTAATCTTCCAGAACGATTATTATTTCTGGCCGTGCAGGAAAGCCCTTGATTTTTGATTTCTAAAGTTGCAGTTACCACTTCATGGTAGGTATGTTTGCTAAAACTAGGCTGAATTTTGAGGACAGGCACATGTTTTCCTGATGATTTTGACAATTTATCAGAGAAAGACGGTTGAAAGTCAGTTCGAGTTTTGCAGAAATGTATATTTACTAACTGTCTATGGGAATATCTTTTGTTGCAAACAAAGTTTAAAGCCCCCTAAGCAAGCCTCACAGAATGGACAGTGCAGTTTCCCAATTGTCCACTCTGCCTATTGACAGCAAAAGAAGAAAAACACCCATCATGTTCACTGAAAATCAATGAGTAAGAAATGATGACTAGAGTTATTTTCTCCTTTAGTCAAAGGGTTTATTTCCCCCTGCCCCAAGCACAGTGAAAGACTTCACAGTGGAAAGAAAAAACACCATAATCTTCTGGTCAAAACTTGGTTTGCTACTGTTAACCCAGAAATCTGTAACACACATTTCAAAATGCAGGAGCTTTGAAATATGTTTCAAACTTGTCCATAGATAGAATAATGATGCAATACTAATGAAAACATTAGATTCTTAAAGCAGTGAAATCAATTTGCCATTTGTTAATCTGGAATTGGCAAACACAGTTTCTCAGCTGAGTGTTCTGAGTGCTGGAAACTCATAAAATCTTGCATACTAAGTACAGCGGAAGATTTCTTATGAAAAGAATACAGCTTTTCCCTTTGTTTACCCCACCAAATCTTGAAATGGTACTTGTATTTTGGTGTATATAGCTTTACAACACAAAGTGCAGAGATCATGACAAATCCTTAATACTCTGCATGGAGACAGTTATTCCCATTATTTGTAATTTTATGAATTTAATTTCAATCCTGAAGGCACCTTTTCAAAAGAAAATACATATAAAATATATTTAAACTCCTACATAATCGCACAATTATTAGTACTACATATGTACACAACTATTAGTATTTTCAGTAAATATAGTCATTTATCAGGAGAAACACTACTGAAGATTGAAGTTATGCAGGTGTTTGTAGGAGCAAAGACCAGATGAGAAACATTATCAGCTTCAGTCACGCTTTACTTACTAATGTTCCTAAAGTGAGGTTGAGCCACGAATACAGAAGCTGCCCAACATTTTTAGTTTAAGCACTGCTTTCAGTTGCAGATGTCTTTCAAAGTAATTTGGGAAGATGTGTCCATGAATGGTACTTGTCTGATTGAAAGATACAGCAAATTTTAGTAAAACCACTTTTGCAGTTTCAGAAGAAACCCCCATTAACTTAGGTGGAAAAATAGGTTATTTTTCACACACAATGCTAGAAAACATTCTGGAAACAGCAGAGAAACTTACTCCTGCCTTGTGGGTTAAAACCTCAGAATTACATGAAGCATCAAATGAGGAGGACAAGAAAAGAAGAACAGAAGAATACAGAAAATGGCGTGCTGTTTATGAGAGATATTGATTGGACTGTACTAACAGACTTTACTAATAATTGCGGTTTATCCATGTTTGGAGTTGTACGGTTACGGGGTTATGATTATTGTTAATGCATGTTTGTTAAAAGAGTTTTGTACCCCAGTTATATACAGTATTAGGTGTTAGGACATGCCCATATATGTTAAGCTCCCTCATGATTTTTCTCCTCTCTGATTGGCAGAGATTTGCCGCATACGAGGAGACACTATTAACAGTGTCCAATTGCCTCACCTAAATCTCCAGTTCCTCATAAGTAGTTGCACCCTGTCAGTCCCATGCTCCTCCCTTGTTCTAGCCCTTTCCATCCAGAACCTTATAAAAGGCATGCTCTCCCCTCAGTCTGTGGATAGCACTGTTCACTCCTGCTGTATGCATATGACCGCTACGCTTGCTGCCTGCTGCGTCTTTTACCACATACAATAAAGACCTACGACAGAGTGAAGAACCCTGTGTGCTGTCATAGCCTCTCCCTTACCCAGCTGTGTCAATCAAAGATGTGCCTTTTATTGCACTTATGAGAATCTGTTTAAACCTGGACAGGTTTTTAACTTGGAGAAAAAAATAAGTATTTGACATATAACCAAAGGCCGGTTTACATATAAGCAAAGGCTTTCAAGTCCTCCAAAATTTCTTGAACATGCACAATCTCTCAGTTTATGAGGCTGACCAATGTGCCCATACGCCATTACCAAAGACAAATTAGGCTCGTTCAGAGATTTACTTTAACTCTCCAGCACTCCATTTTGAGATCACAGAGCACACAATCTCAGAATATGCTGAGTTGGGACTCATAAGGATCAAGTCCAGCTCCTGCCCCTGCACAAAGCTATCCTGAAGAGTCACACCATGTGCCTATCATCCAAATGCTTCTTGAACTCTGTCAGGCTTGGTGCTGTGATCACTTCCTTGAGGAGCCTGCTCCTGGGCACAACCACCCTCTGGGTGATGCCAGGGGCTAGACACTAAAATGAAGGGAAAAGCACTTTCTAGTGATTTTATTGAGTTTTTCTGGCATGGAATAGTATCCTGGATTTCCAAATGGAGACAAAGAGTGATTCATGAAAGAAAGCTAGGAACCTGGAAAAAAATGGGAATGCAAGAGACAGTAAGAAAGAAGAAGGACATGTCTATGTCCCCTATGCACAGAGACTGAGAGATGAGGTGTGGTAACAAGGAACCTGAGACTGATTTAGCATCAGTTTGGCAATGGACTGTGGAAGCACTGACTCAGTAAAAGAAGTAACAGCCTACAAGTGGAGGAGGTGGTAGGGAAAAAATTAGCAAGATCTGAAGAGGAGCTGAAGGTACACAGATTTAATGTTGGACTGCATAAAGAGGAAAAATTTGGAATGGTTAGAAAAAGAAGCCAAAACAAGTGATAAGTGATGGGGAAAAGAAAATGCAGGTCAATAAAGGCCACTAGCAGCACTAGGTATATATGTATAATCATTGAAGATTATCTATATACTAATATGTGTATGAAACCCAAGGAGATTGGTTAAGAACGGGGACAGATGGCGAAAGAGAACCGGCTGGGAAGCAGTGGGTTTTTACAGCCTGCAAATAGACTTTGTGCTTATGTAAAATGATTTAGCCTTTGATTCAGGAGTCATACAGGAGAAAATAACACATGATCACAAGATTATTCAGAGGCCAGGAGGATCTGGAGATAACTCAGAATTGTTTTAAACCCCACACATTTATCCATAAAATCACAGGATCATGCCAGAGAAGTGAGAGTTTGAGGCAAGAGTTTCTAGGATATTAAATGACAAAATGAACACAAAAATGTTGAAGGTGTTCACAGAAAACTGCATTCTCTGCCTTTATCATCAGAGGAGCACTGCTCCTCTGCAACCTTGAGCAAATATGTCAAGCCTTTTCTGGGTAGTCCATGGGTTTTGTATTTCCCAGGTCTCCTAGCTGACTTCTGCATTCATAAATGCAGAAGGTAGAGGTAAAAAGAATACCTTTTCAGCAAAGAATTAAAAGAATAATATTACTATCAATATTGAATCTGATTTTACTGAAATAATATAGCAGGCAAAGCACTGTGAAAAACTGCATCCTTATGATAAAGGATTCATGATTAGGCAATTTTGTAAAGTGAGGAAATACCTCATGACCCATAATTTTCAACGCACCTACAAGATTAATATTTCTCAAACAGATAACCATTCTGTTAGGCATCGTAGAAGAAAAAGAGACTGCTAATTTTAAAAATAATTTAATTAATGTTTAACAAAATAAAATATAGAGCAACACAATGAAGAGAAAACAAATTTTTAAAAAAATTTTGGAAGGCTTAGTTTTACAGTAATAACATTTATTTTTTCTTTGTGCATCAGTTTCAGTGTGGATTTCTTAGAACAGAAGTTACTTAGAATATAGTAAATCTTAGACACTGACGTCTAAGCAGAAAAGAATGCAGATATCATTTACTTATTAGAATCAAAGACTCATCAACGGAAATCTGTAGGGCAAAAGAAAAACACTGTTTCTGCTTATTAATATCAATATCTATGCAAAAACATTAACTTCTAGACCTAAAACAACTTAAAGAAGTACTCAACTGAAGCAATCAGTACAAGAGAAAAGTTATGAAATGGTTTGTAATCTCAAATGAGCAGTTAAAACTCAAAAGCAGTGACACTTGCTTGTCATCAGACCTTTGAGTTTGTTTTCTATTCATATGACATAATAGCGAATTAAGTATAAAAGACAACACATGATATTCCAAAAACTGATCTCTTAACAAACCCCCAGTTATGAGGAAATGTTTCTTACTATCACTGTCAAGATATATATATTAGTACTACAAGTACTATAGTGAGCAAGACAAAGCAAACCCCAAAACCTAGTTAATAAATATAATATTAAGCATTGACAAATACGTAGAGGTGCCGTGACAGGTTTTTTGACAAACAATACACTCATCTATATAGGAGCAGGAAACAGAATTTTTCACTTGTAGCATTTCTGCATACATTAAAAACAAAACATCATTTAAGAGGGAGAAAAAAAATCTGTAAATGAAAGAGATAGAAGTTACTGCGAAGAATTCCCCCAGCTATAAGTTGTCGTTAATATACAATGGACCTTAGCAGAAAAGCATTCTTGAAACTTGTTCCCCTCAGTTATTTCACATTTTGAATGTAAAGATGCAAGGAAAAAAAAAAAATCTACCTCTTCAATGACACGTTCACCCACTCTGGAATGGCTTCTAAGTTCACATACCATACGTTGCAAGACTCCTGAGCAGCAGCTGAAGGTTGTGATGTCTGTTAAAAATAAAAATTACTGTATCGATATTTAACATGCACGTGAGATCTTTTTCTTTGAATACAGCCAGAAGTCAGCTTCCCAAATTCAGTAAATATTAACAAATGATGAAACTCAAATACGTTTATGCATTTTTTATTCTAAAAAGCAAGTAGATGCTGTCAATAATTCTCTATTTCTGAATCTAAAGACAATGGACAGACTCCACGGTGGAGATGTAGGTGTCAGGAGGTGGTTTTGGGCTTCTCGTGCAAGCTTGTGCCACAGTGTCATATCTAATATATGTAGCTAGGGCCAGGAATTATCAAGAACAGGCACAGAAGCCAGCCCCAGGGGTGGAAACCTTGAATGGCATGGGTTATGGGAGGATATGGGTAAATTTCTAGAAAGTTGTTCAGCTCCTACAACATGGAAGCTCACTCTCAAACAACTCCTAAACCCTACAAAGATAATGACAGCTGTGAGGGAGAGAGGTCGTGGTAGACCCATAGAGAGGCAGCTGGCAACTGCATGTGGAGTTTTGGCTGTTGCCTACAGAAAGCTGCTAAGTATGGTGCAGCCCTCACAGGGAAAAGATGAAAACAAGATGCCTGATACCAGCGTGACTCCAGATAAGGTCAATTCCAAGGGATAGAACAAGCCAATGGAAGTTACCCCTATCCAGAAGAAGAAGTATAAGACCAAATCGGCCTGCCCAGTTGATGATGATGGGGAGGCAGGACCCTCACAGGCAGCCAACCCAGAGCCAGAAATCATCACTGAGTCCTTATCGTATGACAACCAATAGAGCTTACGGGCGGACGTTATTCGTCATCCAAATGAGCCCATATTGACCTGGATGATCCGAGTCTGGGACTCCACGGGTGATGCCATAAACCTTGATGGCAATGAAGCAAGATTCTTGAGGTCTATTTCCCAGGATGTGGGCATTGAGGAGGCATTTGTGAGAGAATCAAAGCCCCTGTCTCTCTGGGCATGGCTGTTGGACTGGTGTGAGGGAGAGGTTAATTTACAGAGATTCCTTGCAGGCAGACCATTATGCAAAGAGCTGGAAAACCATGGAGGAGGAGATCCTATGCCTGAGGGAAATGGCACTGTTGGAGATACTGTTTGGAAGGGATGGGCAAGCCACTGATGATCCTGACAAGGTTAAATGTACACCACAGATGTGATGGAGCTTCACACGTATGGGGCCATCTGCACACGCCAGTTACCTGACATCATTGGAGGCTGGGGAAAAGAGAAAGACAGTGACGTCTATAACAAATAAACTTGGGTTGTATGACAGTATGATCCAAGGACCATTACAAGCCCGCATTTCCTCTGTAGAGACATTGATCAATGACCTCACGACCTTAACTACAGAAATAAAAGATCAACAGGAGAAACTGAAAGACTGAGAGAAACAGTTCCCATGTGGCACCAGTGAGAACCAGACACCCCCGAGTTAGAGAGAGTAGACAGACCTCATGAACTGAGCTGTGGTATTTCCTATCTGGCCATGGAGAAGACATGAAACAGTGGGACAGTAAACCTGCCCCTGTCTTGGCAGCCCCAGTACAAGAGTTGAAGGATAGGAAAAAAGCAAAGTCCATGAAAGTGAGTGCAGTGCCGGTATCCTGTGGGCAGGGATCTGACCCGCTAGAAGGTACCTCCCACTGGTATTCAAACGGAAAACTGTGATAAACACGATGAAAACCAATATTAGAGGGGCCCTGCCTCTAGCCAGGTAGAGTCACTGGACAACCATGTCTATTGGACGGTGTGGATCCGATGGCCTGGCACATCAGACCCACAAGAATACAAGGCTTTGGCTGACACTGACATTCAGTGCACGTTAATGCCCTCAGGACATGTGGGCCCAGAGACTATTTCCATTTCTGGGGTGACAGGAGGGTCTCAAGAGTTGACTGTATTGGCAGCTGAAGTGAGCTTGACCAGGAAGGAGTGGCAGAAACACCTCATTTTGACTGGTCCAGATGCCCCATGTATCCTGGGCATTGACTACCTTAGGAATGGGTGTTTCAAAGACCCCAAGGGACATAGATGGGTTTTTGGAATAGCTGCTGTGGAGACAGAGGCAGCTAAACAGTTGAATTCACTACCTGGCCTCTCAGAGAACTCTTCTGCTGTGGGATTGTTGAAGGTTGAGGAACAGCAAGTGCCAATTGCCACTACAATAGTGCACTGTCGGCAGTACCAAACGAATTGAGACTCTGTGATCCCCATCCATAAGATGATCCATGAGCTGGAGGGCCAAGGAGTGATCAGCAGGATCCACTCCCCCTTCAACAGCCCCATCTGGCCTGTGCATTAAGTCTGACGGAGAGTGGAGATTGACTGTGGACTGTTGTGGCCTGAATGAAGCCAGCTTGCTGCTGAGTGCCACTGTTCCAGACATGTTGGAGCTCCAGTACGAGCTGGAATCTAAGGCAGCGAGGTGGTACTCCACTATTGACATCGCGAATGCGTTCTTCTCCATTCCCTTGGCAGCAGAGTGCAGGCCGCAGTTTGCTTTCACGTGGAGGGGCGTGCAGTACACGTGGAACCGACTGCCCCAGGGGTGGAAACACAGTCCCACCATCTGCCACGGATTGATCCAGGCTACACTAGAGAAAGGGCAAGCCCCAGAACCCCTGCAGTACTTTGATAACATCATCGTATGGAGGGACACAGCAGAAGAGGTTTCCGAGAAAGGAAAGAAGATCATACAAATTCTCCTGGAAGCTGGGTTTGCCATCAAAAAGAGTAAAGTCAAGGGACCTGCCCGAGAGATTCAGCTCCTGGGAGTAAAGTGGCAAGATGGACATCATCAGATCCCGACTGAAGTCATCGATAAAATCACAGCAATGGCCCCACCAACTAGCAAGAAGGAAACACAAGCTTTTCTGGGTGCCATAGGTTTTTGAAGGATGCACGTCCCCAAGTACAGCCAGATCGTAAGCCCTCTCTATCTGGTAACCTGCAAGAAGAATGATTTCCAGTGGGGTCCTGAACAGCAACAAGCATTTGAACAGATTAAACAGGAGATTGCCCATGCTGTAGCCCTCGGGCCAGTAAGGACAGGACCAGATGTGAAGAATGTGCTCTACTCTGCATCTGGTGATAAGGGCCTCTCCTGGAGCCTCTGGCAGAAGGCGCCTAGTGAGACCCAAGGCCGCCCACTTGGATTCTGGAGCTGAAGCTAGAGAGGGTTGGAAGCCAATTACACTCCAACAGAAAAGGAGATCCTAGCAGCTTATGAGGGAGTACAAGCTGCCTCAGAGGTGATTTGAACAGAAGAACAGCTCCTCCTGGCACCTTGACTACCGGTGTTGAGTTGGATGTTCAAAGGGAAGACACCCTCTACGTATCATGCCACTGACACTACATGGAGCAAATGGATCACCCTGATAGCACAGCATGCCCTCATTGGAAACCCAAATCACCCTGGGATCCTAGAAATCATCACGAACTGGCCGGAAGGTGAGAACTTTAGTCTAGCAGATGAAGAAGAAGGGGAATGGGTGGTACAGGTGGAGGAAACCCCAGCATACAACCAACTACCAGAAGAAGAAAAATACTACGCACTCTTTACTGATGTTTCCTGCCACATTGTAGGGATGAAACATAAATGGAAAGCAGCTGTATGGAGTCCCACACGACAAGCTGCAGAAGCTATGGAAGTAGAAGGTGAATCGAGTCAATTCGCAGAGCTCAAAGCTGTCCAGTTAGCATTGGACATTGCTGAATGAGAGAAGTGGCCAAAACTTTACCTCTACAGGGATTCATGGATTGTGGCCAGTGCCCTGTGGGGGTGGTTGGACAAATGGAAGAAGGCCAATTGGAAACGTAGGGGAAATCCTATCTGGACCGCTGATATATGGCAAGACATTGTTAACCATGTAGAGAAGCTGATTGTGAGAGTCCACCACGTAGATGCCCACATGCCCAAAAATCCAACCAATGAAGAGCATTTCAACAATGAACAGGCAGACCGAGCTGCACAAGTCGAGGTGTCACAGGTGGATATAGACTGGCAGCACAAAGGAGAATTGTTCTTAGCACGATGGGCCCATGATGCCTCCAACCATTGGGGCAGAGATACCACCTACAGATGGGCACGAGACTGAGGGGTGGATCTAACTATGGATGCTATTTCCCAGGTTATTCATGACTGTGAGACATGCGCTGCTGTTAAACAGGCTAAGACTGAAACCCCTGTGGTATGGTGGACATTGGAGTAACTACAGATACAGGGAGGCTTGGCAGGTTGATTATATCACACTGCCGCAGACCTATTAAGGTAAGTGCTATGTGCTCACCATGGTGGAAGCCACCACTAGATGGCTGGAGACGCATCTGGTGCCCCACGCCACTGCCAGAAATACCATCCTGGACCTCAAGAAACAGGTCCTGTGGTGGCACGGCACCCCAGAGCGAATTGAGTCAGATAATGGGACACACTTCAAGAATAGTTTAGTTACCACCTGGGTGAAAGAGCATGGCATTGAGTGGGTCTATCACTCAATGCAGCTGCAGGGAAGGTTGAACAGTGTAATGAACAGTGTAATGAAGACCACCCTGAATGCATTAGGTGGAGGGACTTTCAAACACAGAGATCAGTACCTAGCAAAGGTTACATGGTTAGTCAACACTAGAGGCTCCGTCAATCGAGCTGGCCCTGCCCAATCAGTCCCTTCACACTGTAGATGGAGACAAAGTCCCAGTGATTCACATGACAGGTATGTTAGGTAAAACAGTTTGGGTTAACCCTGCCTTGAGTAAAGGCAAATCCATTTGTGGCATTGTTTTTGCCCAAAGACCCAGTTGCACACAGTGGGTGATGCAAGAAGATGGAGAAACCCCGTGCATACCTCAAGGAGATATTATCTTCGGGTGAACAGGCCATAATTCTGTATCCGTATTTGTACCTATATATTTGTGGATGTGTACATAGTTTAGAATAATGTATGTATGTATGGAGTTCAAAAAGTTTAATTTGATAGAGCATGGTGGCATGGGAAAGGAAAAAATTAGGGATGGATAATGTCATGGTTTTGCTGGTTCTTGGAAACTAGGCAGGAATTTTTCCCTTCGCCCTGCCCACTGCATACAGGTTTGTTAAGTGAGCAGTTAAGGAGCACAAAAGAAGCTGCTTTCTGGTTAATGGCTCAGAACCTTGTCTGCTGGGCAATGGGGGTGAGGAGCTCCTTTTTACTTTTTTTTTTCTCTTGTCTCCTGGGAAACAGGGGGAAGAGTTCAGGCTTGCTGCTGAGGCTGGAACAAGGTCGGAGTGGAAGCTCAGTGGGGTTTTCTTCTCAGCCTGGTTGCCAGCTGTGGATCCTGCTTGGATTTTTTCATCAGAGAGGAACTGTTTGGGATTTTTTTTTAATTGTTGGGTTTTTTTCTTTTCCCCTTCCCTGTTCCTGTTTGTTTCTTCCTTAGCAGTGGTTCTTGTGCACATCAAAGGGAGAAGGAAAACTATATCGCACAATTCAACCAACCAAACACAGTGAGTTTTTTCCCAATGGAGAGGACTTGTTGTTGTTGTTGTTGTTGTTGTTTCTCTTCCTTCTCTCTCCCCTTTTCCCAGTATGTAGGGGGGGAAGGGAAACCCATTTGCAGTTTCTCCAGCACACCCTGGAAGGTGTCACTCCACGTGGCAATGACCAGTGATTCCACAGTGCCCCCTGCTGAGCAGCATAAAGAACTGCAGGCTCTGCCTTTCCAGTGATCCAACAGTGCCCCTGGTAACTGGTACAGGACACTACAAGCTCTGCATCTCCCGTGATGCAATGGTGTAGCAGTTATTAATATAATAAATAATAAGTCCCATGGGGACTATAGCGTCACCAACATGATGTGTAACAGGAGGAGTTTATTCAAGGAGTCCCAGCTTATATAGCAGTTTCAAATGCTGCCACGTCACACAGGTAACTTCTTAAGCC